GGAATACTCCTATGATTTAATATTGGTCATTATAAATCATGTTTTAAATAATTTTAAATGACATGGGAAAATGTCACAATGTTAAATGAAGATGCACGATAAAAACTATATATGAGGATTCCAACTATGTAAAACTATAAATAAAAAGTTAGAAGGAAATACATCAAAATGTTACCCACAGTGATCTCCAGATTGCAGGAGAATAATTTTAGTTTGATACTTTAAACTTTTCTGAATTTATAAACTGTATATAACAAAGATATATTACCTCTATAATCAGAAAAAGATTATTTATAAAGCATTTAATACCAACATCGAATGGGAAAATACATATTTACATTAAAATCAGGCATGCCTGACAAACCCAGGGCCCTCCTCCTGCAATATACAGTGTGCTCTAAAGGTTCATGCATGAAGCTCAAGGATGAAGATAAAATCTGGTTTCAGTGCAAATATTACTAAATGGGCAGAAATAACAGGATTTTATTCAAGTGGTCACTTAACTATTTTCCCCCTATGATCTAGTAACTTCAACTCTGGACATACAATACATGGCTAATTTCTAAACGGGATTGGTTACAACAAAACTAATGCCAAAAATTAGGTATTTATAAGAGAAAAGGCATAGCTCACTTTAACCTTTCAGTTTTGAATCAAATACCTTTCTACACCAAGTAAAAGACATTTCAGTATCTTGTTTCAGCAGCAATGTCAATTACTGCAGAACTGTCTTTGCTCTAATTTTGCTTTTTTAGTGTTGTTTTTGCCTTCTCCTTTCTATGCACAATAAGACATAGACATTAAGTATTTTCTTTCTTGGATACCTGCCACTGGGTTAGTCTTTCAGGATCAGCCCTTAAGACTTCCAAAATCCATGACCAAAGAAAAGAATAATAAAACCCAAACCAGAAAAAGCCTACCTAAACCATTCAATACAAATTAATGGGGCCGAGCTAAGGGACTGTGTCTAAACAAAAATTATGTGTAACCCATAATCACAAGCTAAGTGCCAAGTTCCACTTGTCCAAGGACTCAACCAAGAGATAAGGCAACCCATCTGATTTAATTTAATATGGTCAGATACTCTTTTCCATAGCAACCACACAGTAGTCACAGTAGCAGTCAAGTGCCCATTTTCTCCTCCCCATAACACAGAATATAAAGAACAGCTTGCACAGACAGTCGATGATGATTTGATTCAAACAGATAAAAATCAGAGAATGGAAACAGTGAAAAGAAAGACGATGTTCCACAGTGAAAAGAAAGACTATGTTCCCTCTTATAAGGAAATACCTTGAGGGGATGGGGCTTAAATAAAAGACCAAATTTATTTTAAGAAAGAAATGGAATGCCTCAAAAAGCGATTTAAGGGACTTTACAGACTTCAAAAATAATATAAGAAATAAAGGAAAACATTAGGATTTAACATACAAATATTAGAGAGGGGGACGTTTCAAATGTAACAGCAGTTAAAAAAAATAACAAAAAAACATTCATAAACCTTATGTGCTTTAAACATTTTACTAGCCCTTCCTACAATTATCAATTCCACAGTAATGATTTAACTGATAGCAACAATATTGGTAGCTCAAAGAAGCTCGGCGTTAGCAAAGCGGATCGTATTTTTAATTTTTATAAAGATTCTTACCAGCCGCCTGCTTTCTCTTAGGCTTAGTCTAAATGGTTTTGGGAGACAATGCTTATTTGTATGGCTGCCTTAAGAAAATGGAGACTATAGGATAAAATGGTAAAATAAAAAATGGGCCCCAAAAGGTGTCTTAAATATAGTGAGTATTCAATCAAGTAAATTTTTGGTGAAAGAAAATCAACTCCATTAAGAAATATACTCACTGTTTGAAGCTATGTCAATCAGAAGAGTTTCTTCTGCTTCTGAGGAGGGAAATAAACAGGATCAGGGAAGAGAAAACCATTCATTACAGCAAAAAGACTACTCCTAACTAAATAACTGCTTCTCTCAGTCACTACTCCTAGGTCTTAGAACACCTTTTTTAAAAAATCCTTTGTGGTTTTTTTTTTTTTTTTTTGCTTAGAATTTTTTAAAAAGGATTTTAATATCACTAAGTTCTAAGTAACCAAATGGAACTCCTCAAAGCAAATCAAGGAATGGCAAATTAATAGTAGATAACATAACAACATGTTAATTCAAATGAAGTTTAATTTCCCTTAACTATAACATACTAATTTAATATAATCTAACTGTATCCTTTCGATACTTCTTATAGAAAGCCAAGGAAGTGACCCTGAAGGCCCAGAGGTGAATTAGTTTCTTAACTCAGATCTATTCTCTGAAAATTTCCCAATGATCTCATTACCTCTGCCCCTGTCCCATATAGGAGCAGAGTATACCTGAAGGTAGCCTGAAGTATACCTTCAGGCTACAATTAATACCTGTGGGCCCAAGGCCTACCATATCCAACAAAAAGTACAAAAAAATTTGCAAGTTCCGAGTTCTCTTTTCTCTTCATGGCTCTCTTGAACTTTCTTCCTTACCTCTAGTGTCTAGATCCATCCTCTCTGACTTCTCTGGATTTGACCAACAGCACCTGCCAGACTCTCTGGGCTAACTGAACTCTGGGTACCCAATTAGCCTGGATCTACGTTGGTCAAATGGAGTAGTCTCAGCCTTTTCTATCTTCCTCCCAAGAGTGAATTGCATATTTGACTCCATTATTCAGGTACAACAGAAACAACTGGTAAGGAAATAAGTTGTCTAATATTAGAAAGTAGTCTCAATACTATCACTAGCATGATTAAGCAAGAGAAAATAGGGCATTAGAACATAGGTATGATATGTTTACCATTGTTCTTCAGTAACTTTTAGTTCTGTAAAACCTGAGTGTTTACAGTTTTCAAAATAGATGCACAGGTCGAGAAATAGAAAGGAGGTGAAAACTAAAGGACACAATTGTTCCTTTTATCATGAGGAACTACGGTATATGTGTATACATATTTTCCCAGATTCCAAGAAGTAGCACTACAATCTAACAATCAGCTGTCTATTTCTTATTAAAAACAATACTAAGAGTAACAGGGTTTAAAGAGACCCAAGGAGTAGTACAAAAAGGCACAAAGCTAATAGGATACTAATTTAAAGTCATGTTCTTTGGGTTTTTTCCTCCATAAAGGGCTACACCTTGAAAAGTGAGGTAACCACAGCAACTTACTATGGCATGTGGCTTCCTTGTTTAATGTCTCTCTCACACAGAGCAGGCTTAATAGCTATGACTTCATTCCTCTATACAATGTGGACAATATTCGTTTAAGGTATTTTTAATTCTTAATACATGCTGTCTTAAAAAGTCATAACCACTGACTTAGTATTTTCACTTATAGGAATAAATCCTGAGGAAATGTGCAGGAAGATTTGTGGAGAGATGTTCATCACATTATTATTTATACTAGTGAAAAATAACCCAAATGTCAAACACAGGGGAATAATTACATTATGGACCCTGCACAAAATGGACTAGTATACAGTCATTAATACCATGGAAAAGTGTTCATAATATGATGGCATGTGGAATAGACAAAAAATTATATAGGATGAGTACCACCCACCCTGAAAGTTATGTGTAAAAGAAAGGAAAATGTCAGGCATTTATCTCTCAAGGATGGGGATTTAGGTGACTTTTTTTTAATGTTCTTTCGAAACTTTATGTATATATGTTACTTTTGTGGATAAAAAAGTTCAATGTGGTTTAAGAAAGAATCCATACAAAGTAGGACACAAGTTTTCCAAGAAGCTACAGATACAGAATGTTTCTGCCTGATGAAACCGCCAGACCTGCTGGAAACAGGATGCACTTGTTCTCTAGTATCAATTTCCTTCATAGAGCAATATGAGATGACAGAAGCAACACCTCCTACACAAACCTCCCAATTTTTAAGTTTAATTGTAGCAGATGAAACAACAGATTTTCTGTGTTCAGTCCCCAAATTTGAGGGCAGGGAGCCAGATATTTCCTCCCCAGGGTTGATTTTCTCATGATTCACCAATGTCAATGTTTAAGAATCAGCACAACTGAATGTAAGATATTACAGTCTGGCAAAGTGTGTTGCCAAATATCTTAATTTAAAATAGTGTGGGGAGAAAGTGCTGAATAAATGTGAATCCAAGTGACCTTGATACTTTAAAATGAGTACTGTGTCCGTTAAGCCCAACAATGTCATTTAAATCCATATATAGGTCAGTCAGCATAAAAGACTACCTACATAGGCAACAGTCTACATATATCTCTAACCCCAGCCAGGTGAACAGGTGAGACATAAACCCCTGCAAATTAGGCAATGTAATAGATATATTTCAATATAACCCTTCAAGCACTCTTAGACAAAGCATTTATCATCTTCTCAATGTTATCTTTTTATGCAGAGTAATACATTTCATTTTACATGCAATGACACATTTAAATACGTATGGTACAATGCAATAATGACCAAGGAAAAACACTATAAAATTAGCTAAGCAGTTAAAGCTAGTACCTTGAACACATCTGAAGTGGCTATTTATAGGAATGATATCTTGAACATGCTGTTCCTTCTCGTGCAACTGGATTATTAACCTAGGAAACAGAAGAATGCATCGATGAATAGCTACTGAAAAACCTAAACGTCTAGGAACAAGATACTTTGCTGTCTTATTACACAAATCTAGTCTATATTCATTAGACTTGCTGCATCTAGTTTCCTGGATCTGAGAATCATGGCAGCTAGATACTGCTCTAGGTCTAAAAGGATGTTAGTGGTGATCAATATCTGAATTCCCACACTGTTCTATATGCCATATGTCCTTAAAACAGTTTATAAGCTTAAGAGCATGAATTACAGAGTATGCATATCAGAGTGAAGAATTAACAGCTAGATGTGAATGCCTTGAGGGCAGGGACTATGGCTATCTTTTCACCATAGTACCTCTAGTTCCTAGCACAGAGCCTGGCACACAGCAGTTGCTCCTGTGTGTTCTTGAACTTTTTTTTTTTTTTGAGACAAGAGTCTTGCTCTGTTGCCTGGGCTACAGTGCCGAGGTGTTGGGCTAGCTCACAGCAACCTCAAACTCCTGGGCTCAAGCAATCTTTCTGCCTCAGCCTCCCGAGTAGCTGGGACTACAGGCATGCGCCACCATGCCCGGCTAATTTTTTCTACATATTTTTAGTTGTCCAGCTAATTTCTTTCTACTTTTAGTAGAGACGGGGTCTCACTCTTGCTCAGGCTGGTCTTGAACTCCTGACCTTGAGCAATCCACCCGCCTTGGCCTCCCTGAGTGCTAGAATTACAGGCGTGAGCCACCACGCCTGGCTGCTCCTGTGTGTTGAATCAATGAATTAGAAAATTCATAAACCAGCTTTCCAATTATATTCCCATGGCTTTTACCAAAGAATGTTTCTATCTCTTCAAACAGGCATGCAGGCTCATGGAGGAATAAGAGGGGGTGCCTAGTCAACTGAATCAGTCAAAATACTGGTGACCAGGCCGGGCACGGTGGCTCACGTCTGTAATCCTAGCACTCTGGGAGGCCGAGGCGGGTGGATCGTTTGAGCTCAGGAGTTCGAAACCAGCCTGAGCAGGAGCGAGACCCCGTCTCTACTAAAAATAGAAAGAAATTAATCAGACAACTAAAAACATATAGGAAAAAAAATTAGCCGGGCATGGTGGCGCATGCCCGTAAACCCGGCTACTCGGGAGGCTGAGGCAGAAGGATCACTTGAGCCCGGGAGTTTGAGGTTGCTGTGAGCTAGGCTGACGCCACGGCACTCACTGTAGCCCTGTAGCCCGGGGAAAAGAGTGAGACTCTGTCTCAAAAAAAAAAAAAAATACTGGTGACCAACAGAGTAGTAGACATCAGAATGCCTTCAGACCCCTTGGGTTTTTTCTCTGGTTTCTAACTTCATGTTGGTATTTCTATGTAAACACGACTGAACTTGGCTCCCCAGTATGAAACGTGAGACTTCTAAATCCATATTGTACTCTAGAAATATTAGTTGTCATTTATTATTTATCCTTAGTGGCCCATAATCAAGGTATAACCTACTGGTAAACAGCCATTCTGAACGTAAATTAGCTTCCCAGTCAAGCAGTCTTCAGGTGGTTTTATTTGTTTGTTCTTGATAAGAACATTCCTCTTTTCTTCCTGAGACCCATCTCAAATATCAACTCCTCCATGAAGCTTTCCTCAACATCCCCTAAGCAGAACCAGTGGCCTTATCCCCTTTCCTTGCCCCTCTAATAGAGCACTTACCCACTCCATTATAGTTATATTTATTTCTCCTCACTGATTTGAGCTCCTTGAAAGCAAGGACTTCATCATATTCAGTTTTGTCTACAGCTTAACAGATGCACAATAAATACTGATTGAATAAATTAACTAGTTTAATTAAGCTACAAGCAGAGGTGAATTTCTAAATATAACTATTCAACGTCTGTCATTGTTTTGAAGGGCTTGATTTCTATTTTGTTGTCTTTTTTGGGTGCTTGTTGTTTTAGCTTTTTAGATTTGGATTTTTTTCAAATGTGTTAACTTTGAAAGGGATAAGGGGTAAGTAAGTGCTTAGATAGAAGCAAGGGAAATAAAAATATTAATGCTGTTTTTCTGCTTTGATCTTGTTTGCCTAATTTGCAGGAGTTTATATTTTAAGGTGATTACAGGAATATGGGGCAGGAGCCTTTCAACCTGGAAAGTTCATGAGTTGAGCAGAGTCTTATAAACCCAGATGGAAACCAGAAACTAGATAAAAGGCTGAGAAAGCAAGGGTCAGGGAGGAAGAGCTTACTTTGAGGATAATGAACAGGAACCACTATAATTTCAAAATATGTAGAGTAGAAATGGTGTTGGATATTAGCAGTAAAGCTTCAACTGGACTATAATGTTAAAAACCATAACAAAACAAAGATAAACTGAAAATTTAAGTGAATTCCACATTTATTGGATATCTACTATGTGTTAGCCACTAAATAAATTACAGCAAAAAAACAGGGCTAAGAATAAGCATAAAAGTTCTACCTAAATGTAATTATTCATTTCAGAACAGAAAGATTAAAAATAATAGGTATATAGCAAAACAATGGAAATCAGAATTTGGTTGTTGTCAAACAGAAGAGGATGACAAATTGTGAATGCAGACTTAGCAACATCCCTAGGAAATACTTTGGTTTGTTCAAGGAAGGTCAAGAAACAGGTTCTGTCATAATCTATTATCCTTGAAAATAATGAATCTTAGTGTTTGATTCCCTATTCCCCCCAAAATCTTATTTTTAATTGTAATTTTGGTCTCTCGAGCAAATTTCTCCTATGGTTGATAGTAGGAACCACAGACCTAAAGATTAAGACAGACTTAAAATTCTAGGATAAAAAGGCCAAAAGTAAAAAGTTCTGGACACCCAAGTCAGAGAAGGCACCCAAGAGATAAGAATTTGAGGATTACAGATGGTATTATGTGTCTCCAATAACTGACTTCAAAAGAAACTTCTCAATCTAATTCTGAGATATGTACATAGGTTCAGAGCTCAGCTATGCTACTTCCTAACTGTGAACAAGCGACTTAACCTCTCTCTGCCTCAATTTCTGTATCTGTAAAAGGGGAATGATAATATTACTATTTCATAGTAACCCCCACATGCAAGTTAAATGAATTAATGAAAAGTGCTTTCAACAGTACTTGGCACACATCAAGCCATCAAGTAAGTATTACTTGTTGCTATACCCCCATAACTTATTCAGAATGGGAACACAAGAATTTGATTTCTCTTTGGGGAGGATACAAATAGTCAGGACAGCTACCACACTGCCAAGTTTAAAGGTTCTGCTAGTACAAGAACACAGATAGGACAAGATACTTCTCTCAAGGCCAGCTGCTCACTCCCTTATTAGTTGAACAGACTTCCAAACCTACTAAGCCAAGGGACCAGACCCTGGGCTGCGGTCATCTCAGCAATGTGGCTATTCTATTCAATCTTCATAATTTTGTTTTTACAGAAGAGGAAACCAAGGCACAAAAAATTTACTGGTTTGCCCAAGGGCCACATCTCTCTATGCCATCTCAGCCTTTGGGAATGTTAGTGGTGTTCCACTTTTTCAATTTACTTTTCTGTTGAATTTACTTTTATTAAACTGGTCTTCCAAGATTTGATGAAAACTGGGGAAAACAGCATGAACTTCACACATCAACAGAGCTGATGTATCAACAAAGCAGGATGTAGGGAAGAGCTATTTCATAGAACCACATGATATCCACTTAGAGTGCCACCAATAGTCTCAGAGAAGAGCAGGCTAGGCCAGTGGAAATTTCTTCTGTGTAAACCAGGCAGCATAGACACAGAGGATCTAAAAGTGGGGACTGAGAAAAATTGCTTTTAAGCAGAATACAGTGTTGGGAGATGGCAGGATTTAAGCGAACAACTTTTAAACTGGGAAGGACTCTGATGTCAAGAAACTAGTGAACAATGAAGGAAAGTGGCTTAGGCAAACAAGGATCAGGACCTATGATATATAATGGTCACCATGGATACTTGTAGGATGAGGCGCTAGCAGCAATGGAGTGAGGCTAGCAGCTATGGTGATAGCTTATCAAAATGATCTTTTGATCAATTAGTCAACAATATTTACCAAGCTCCTATGTCCAAGGCCGAGTGGAAGGTGACACACACTGATAGAATGCCAAATGTCATTTATGTTTCTACACATTTCATTACCTTTTCTTTCAAACAGTAAATAAGTGAGGCAGTTACTGGCCTACACTAAACCATTACTGAATTAATGAATATGCCTTGGAGCGAGTGGCATAAGGGGGTGGGGAGACTGGCGGAACCAGTTGAATGGGGTTAGGAAAAAACAAGTCTTTAACATTTAAATGAAGCGTTTCCATAGCACTTTTGCTTTCTGTAAATCACTTGTGCATTTATTATTCCTTTGGAGTTGTAACTCCAATGGCTGCAAAATAAGGCAGTTAATGTTTTTACTCAACTGATGAGTAAACTAAGGCCCAGAAAGCTTTATTGACTTGGCCAAGGTTACACGACACTGGTCAGTTGTAGGGGCAGGAACTAAGGACCCAGGCTTCCTGCTTTCCCGCCCATTGAGTCCCTCCACTGAGCCACACTGCCAGGCACAATCTAGAGGCTCAGAAGTTGGAGACAAAGCCCCGAGGTTAGAGAGCACTGGCACTTCACACCTGGGCCTGAACCTGTTGCCCGCGTGGCCTCAGTGGGAGGCGGGTGGGTGGCTCGTCGCGGTTTGGGGTTGGGAAGTAATGGCAGGCTCCCCTTCTCTGTGGGAATCAGGTGGTTACTTACTCATATTGCCCGTTCCTCTGGGCTAGCGTCAGGGTGCAGGGCTCCCGGAGGGGACCCTTCATCTCCATACCCTCGACAGTATGCGGGCGCTAGTCAAGGGTCTCTTTTAGAAGCGTGACAGGGGAGGGGTGGCGCGCGGCGCAGCGGAGGGGTCTCCGGTCCCCCCAGCCGCCCTCCCCCGGCCCCCAAGCGTTGTCTCCGAGCCGGCCGCCTCCCCTGCTCTGCTCGG